CCTGCAACAGAACGGCTTCTACAGGGAAGATATGTCTGAAGGAAACTAATAAACTTGGGAGCACAACTGATAATGAAAGTTAATTTGTAATTGTGTTGGATTTTTTAGAATCTTGCTTTTTAAAGTGACTGCTGGACACCAAGGCCGGTATTCCTGGGGGGCATCCCCACTCCCAGGTGGTCACTCTGAGCCCTTGTGCTTCCACCCAATAAGCTCAGCAACATCCCAACATACTCAGTCCATTGTGTGTTATTTAAGCCATAGGATATGACAGAGCTTGTTTTATGGAGTCATTAATTTATGCTGTGGGTGACTTTAACCACCCAAGAAGTATATTAATGGCCCTATAAAATACACCCCAGAGTGTCTTAATATGGTTATGAGATTGATCTTCAGCTTTATATTCTACTATGTGTGATATTATTGAAATAAATTGTAGAGGAAGGGGACATGGGATCCCAGTAAAGGGCGAGTTTCCTTTTTCTTCCAAGGATCCCGTGATCACGGATTCACTCTGAGCCAGCTGTGGGGTGGGACTCCAGCCCCCTGCTGCAGGAGGCTGGAGATGTCCCATACAAGGTGTTGCCTTTTGGAATGGAGCTTGCTGGCCCAGCTCTGGCACCAACCTTAGGCAGTACCTATCTATGCTGGCTGGTCAGTAACTTTAACCACAGCTGCTTTTATCCTGATACTTGAAAGGTTTCCTGTTAATACAGGCTTTGCTCAACACCTCGAGTTGGGTCATCTGTTGAAATGTTTGCCAGAGTCAGGACTCAGAGCAGCATCAGCCCATCCCCTCCTTGCTACCAGAGAACAGCACCAGCTTGTTGAGGAACCCTGAATGCTACACAGGAAATTCTTCTCTGATAAAAGTTAGGTGGGATTATTATAAAAAACAATTCTTGTTTGGGAAATAACAGCAATACATGGCTTTCCTGCTGACAGATTCTGGTAGCATGAGTGTACCAACAGGAAACTTCGATGTCTGAAAAACTGGATCTTGTTTTAAGTCTTTTTTCTCTCTTTTCTCCCAGCATTCATGTGCTCAGGCTTTCAAAGTCTTGAGGCCTGTGATGTCAAAGCACTGAGGGTTTGGTGTTTAGCTGGAAATTAAGAATAAATTCTGGTGTATTAAATAATCTGTACTTTTCTGTAGCCTTAATCATTATCATCTTTTTTTATGCTCTCTGGTGGGAGTGTATGGCTCTGAACTGCCATAAACTCACAGCATTCTTAGTGCCTAGACATGGTTTTTCATCCCCAAACCAAATAAAACTGTGGTTTTCTCAAGTTTTAGTAGGAAATCTGAGAGAATGATTTTGATGCTTGGGGGAGCTTTGACCCATTTCAGAATCCAGGGCACAGCATGAGATTTCAGAGATGTTTATGAGACCAAGACCATGGGTCAATATCCTATTTGAAAGAACCCTTTGAGCTGTTGTATGTTTGCAGCAGGGCCCAAAGCGTGCAGAGCACCTTTTGAAGGAGAAAATAAAGCACCAACCTGCTCACCCTGACAGATTAGAGACTTCCAACAGATGGGCTACCAAACCATGGTGACTGCAGACAAAAGAATGAGAGAATTGGGCTCTGCTTAAGGGTCTGAGCCAGCCCAAATCAGTTTTTATAGCACTGTCATAGGCTGTGAGCAGGTAAAGAGCATGCAGATCTACAAGAGATGAGGCTGGACCACCTGCTGCAGGTGAGGTAGGATGGCTGCAGCGAGCCTTCCTTGGATAAGGAATATGCCTGAGCTTCTCCTTGCCCTGCGTTAATGTTCAGTTGTTCCCTAGGTGGGTGCCCTGTGAAGTTTCTTTAATTAATGTTTATAAAGCACTTAGAGACCCTTGCAAAAAGGAAAGTATCAGTATTAGAACAGCAGTTGTTAGGCTGCTAATCATTAAATCAGTCTCCTGCAAAGGCAGGACCACTGACTCCTGTGAGAGAGGCTATGCTGCACAGATGAAATGCAATGATAGGTTTGTATGGTGTAATAACCTGATTATCTGTTGGGCTGGTATCAGGGACCCTTCTGGGCAGGAGCAGCCCTGCTATGGGTCACAGGCTCGGTGCTGTTAAAGGCTGACCAAGGGCTTCCTTTAATAGAGGTGACTGGAGCAGCTGTGTCCTGAAATCATCCTGTTGCAGCAGCAAGGTGCTGGGCAGTCACAGGGTCAGAAATTAGGACAACAAAAAACTTAGGCTATATTTGCGCTCTTATGGGTGGTGCCAGCTTCCAGGATCTAGGGCTATCCAGATTGACCAGCTGGTCCTTACTGGATGCAAGTAGGAGATAAAATGGCAGGAAGCTGGCCCCAGAGAAAAACTGAGGGGAAAATCTGAAAATCAAGAGAAAGCTCTGGCTGAGGTTTGCTGGTTTTGTTAATTACCAACAAGAACAATTTTGGGAACGCAGTCGCCCAGACATGAGTACAGTGTTAGGATTACGATGGGAACAGCTCACACTTTCATTAGTGTTGCAGTGTTTGTAAGCAAACTGAAAAGGGCCCTTGGAAATCTGTCGTCTCATAAATCTTACTAGCAAAATTGCTTTTCTAAATAGTGTTTTTCAAAAATTTTTCCATGAGGCATTGAGTAGTTCTGTAAGATCTATTCAGGGCAGCCACAGCTCATGTGATGCTCACATGGATCCCAGATGATTTTTAGCTTAGCAGGGCTGTCACATAACACATCCCGCAAAACGATGGTGATGAAAATACGTCACACCCAGCTCTGGGCTGTGAACAAGAGTCTCCTTGCGCTGTGAGCTCACACGTGTGACACAACTATCAGCCAGCGCACAGCTGAGAGAGAAACCCTTCCCCACAAGCCGCGCTGCTGCTCTGCAGGATTCACAGACCTCCTGAGCATTTATTGCCCAGGGGATTCAGCCTGATGACCAATCCAGTCTTTATTGGTGAAGGAGCAGTAAAAAGCGTGCTGTCATCCTAAAAGTGACAAATTGGGTAACTGGTTACTGAGCCAGCAAAAGCAGATGTGAGGCAGTTATTGCTGCTCAAACATAAGGGATCAGCACAGCTTTAAGCATGAAAATGAAGTATTAAAGTTCCAAACGGAAAGAAACTTCTTAGATGGAAGCAAACAAGGGCTAGACACAGCAGGTACTTTGAATTTCATGAGTCCACTTCTACCCAAGAAGGCAGACTCTGCCCCCTCCTTGGAAGGACTTTCCTGAGCACTGGCAATCCCATCTGCTTCCCATGGAGACCTGGACAGAGGTGCCTGAGGCACAGGGGATGGAGCTGACTCACTGCTGTGCTATGTGACATTGGACAAAGCCTTCCATTCCTTTGCCTGAAGGTGGCTGTGCCACTCGGGCCAGAGACCGCGGCTTCTGCACTGCAGTGGTGGGACTTTTATGAAATAGGCAGATGAGACACTGCAGCTGGGGAAAGGAGTGAGACTGCAGGGTGTGAGGGAAGGACAGACTTCCCTGCTTCACTCAAGACAGGTGTAAGGGTGGGGAAAGTACCCTTGTCACCTCCCTCAGGTCTGCGAGCTAAGCCTGGCTGATGGTTGGGCCAGCATTGTGTTAGTCTGAGCTCCCTCCCCAGCTACTGCACACGGGCTCCCCGAGCCTGCCGGCTCTCCTGCATCGCGGATCATCGCGGTACACGCTTGGCTGGAAGGAAGTGAGACGAGAGAGCGACGCGGACAGCAGCGAGACTCTGCGGGCTGCAGCGGCTGAGCGCGAGTTATGGCAGCGCAGGGAGCCAGACTGGGCTCTTTGTTTCCCTGTGTCACTTCTCAGTCCCCATTAGCAGCAAAATAGGGCACGCACACATCTGACAACTGAATTCCTTGCTGGAAGGGGTTCGGTCATGCATAAGACTGCTCAAAATGAGGCCTGGCTTTCAGGTTTGGAAGCATGGAGCATGACCTGGAAGGGACAGCTGGTACGTGCACGCTTACTTATTTTCCCCTTTTAGAGTTTTGCACCAGTTCTGCATAACTTTGAAGAGCTGCGGCCAAGGACAAACAAATGGATGCCTGTCCCTTTCCCAGCAGACAGACCTCGCTATCCGTCTGTCCAACTTCTTAACAATCACTCGGGGAAGGGAAAATTTGAGAACGTTATTGATGTCTCAAATTCAAGCACTCAATCGAAAAGCTCAGAACTCGGAGCAGGAGCGCGACTTTCACTCAAGCCTTGTGCAAGCACTTTGATACCATTTTAATGACGGGCTTGTGCAAGTTTTTCCTCGGGACTTGGACTTTGTGTCCTCTCACGTAACAACCACCTGGAAAGCGCAGGTGAGAAGCGATTGCAGAGGTTTGCGACTGGGAAAAAAATCCTAGAAATCCTACCGGGAAAGTAAAGGACTATCAGAAGTCAGTTCTCCTTTAGAACACGAGCATCTCCGGGGGAGTAATACCCGGAGCAGAGCAGCCGCGCCCCCGGCGCCTCTCGCAGAGGGGGTTCTCCCTGCCGGGGGGGTTCACTCTCGCCACCGCCCCGGGGGGACGCCGGCACGGACTTTTCCCGTCGGGAAAGTTGTCGGTGGTCGCGGGGAGGAGCCGGTCCGGCCGTGCCGTGCCGGGGGCGGGGAGCGGGCGGGGGCCGGGCCGTGCCGGGGCGGGCCGTGCCAGGGCGCCTGCGCTGGCGGCGCGGAGCGCGGCGGAGCGGGACGGACCGAACTGGAACAAAACAAGCGGCGCTTTCTTTGTATCGCCCCCCCACCCCTCGCAAAAGGGCTCCGCGCCCCGCGGAGAGAGGAGGAGGCGGCGACGCGCGCGCGGCTGCCGGATTTGCCTTTTTTTTTTTTTCCCCGGCGCTTTTTAATTTTTATATTTTTTTTCAAATTTTTATTTATTTATTTTTAATAAGAGGGGAGCAGGGCGGGCGGGAGGCGGTGCGCGCCCTCCGCGGGCGCGGGGCGGTGCGGGCGGCAATGGCCTGAGCGGGGCGGCGGGTCCGCGCCCCCCCTCCCCGTCCCCCCGTCCCCGCGCACCTGCCGAGCGCGCCCCGCGGGCGCGGAGGGTCGCGCAGCGCCATGTCGCGGGTCGTGCAGAAGAAGAACCACTGGTCCAGCCGGGTGCGGCAGTGCGCGCTGACCCGCGGGCCCGGCGGACAGCTGGGCTTCGCGCTGCTCGGCGGCGCGGAGCACGGCGAGTTCCCCTACGCGGGCGCGGCGGCGGCGGGGGACGGCGAGGCGGCGCTGAGCGAGGGGGAGCTGCTGCTGGAGGTGCAGGGGGTCCGCGTCTCGGGGCTGCCGCGCTACGACGTGCTGGAGGTGATCCGGAGCTGCAAGGACCCCATCGTGGTGAAAGCCGTCCGACAAGGTGCGAGGGGGCCGCGGAGAGACGGGGCGGGAGGGGGGGACCCGCTCAGCGCTGCCCGTGGGGGTGCCGGGCCGCTGGTGCGGTGCTGGGTGGCCAGGGGCGAGTGCGGTCCGGCATCAGCCCTCCGGGACAGCGCAGGGCCCCGGCAGAGTCGCGCAGCGCGGGTGTAAGTGCACCCACCCGTGTGCGCACCTTTTGCGAGGGCACTGATGCTCAGGCATCATCGTCCCGATGATGACGATGATGAAGCTCATCGTCCTGAGCCCGTCCGCAGCCGCCCCGCAGTTCCCTGCCCTGCGTTAAGCGCAGTGAGCAATTGCGTGAGACTTTCCCAAAGGAGCCGTCAACGCTCCCTGTGGGGCACCCACGCGTGTCGGGGGGAGCCCGGTGTCCGGCTGACCCCTGGAGAGGCTGAGGATACTCCACATCTGGAGGAATGTGGCAGAAATCCCCTCCTCCAGTAGCTGAGCATCCTTTGGAACTGCTCGGTGATGACTGGAGTCTTGTTCAGAAAGTGCAGCGTGTGTTTGCCGGCTGCCGGCGTGGGAAGGAAAAGCTTGGACCCTTCTGCATTTTCCCTCCCTGACTGAAAGGCAGCTCGGGTTTCCCTTTCCCCCCGCCCCCGATTTGCCCTGGTGGGCTGGTGAGGGCACAACCGTGCTGCCCTGCAGTGTACAGGTGAAGGCATGCACAGGTAGCTCTCCGATTCGGCTGGGAAAGAGGATAAGGAAGAGTCCTCCCATGCTGGATTAAAAAAAAGCCACTTCACATCCGTGTACACTCAACAGTCGCTCAACAGGTTAGCTGACAGGCTTGGCTAATGGGCTTGTGATTTCCAGGGCAGGATTTGAGTTTAGTGCCAGGAAACTTGGTGCTGCTGAAGCCACCGAGGCTGGTTGGATGGGCAGGATGAGCAGGACTGCAGTCGGACACCGGGAGCTGTGTGAGGTGAAGGAGCATCCCGAGGTCAGCTCCAAGTGGAGGAAGGAAGGGAAGTTTCTTTGTGTCACCCAAGAGATTCCTTAGGGGAAAGTTTGTCATCCACACATGTATGCATCCCAAAGTTGGGTTTTTTGCTGCGGCTTTTGGTGTGAGATGGTTTTTTTTCTCCTGTGCTTGGTTCAACCCAGCTGGTCACTGCAGACAAAATTTATGGCCAGCTGGCAAGACTGTCACCTGAAGTCTTGTCCCTGGGCTCACTGATGAGCTGAAGGACTGCAGGCACTTGTTTCACAGCCATCCTTCAAACCTCAGTGCCAGAGAAGATCACAGTGCTGGGGTGTCTGAGAGGAGCTGAGCTGTGGCTGTGCAGGCCCCCTCTGCCACCTGCCCCAGAGCTGATCTACCAAAGCACAGCTATTAATTATTCCTTTCCAAGACTCAGTAGAAATATTCCAGCAAACAGTGTCAAACTCCCAACAAAAACAGTTTTCTTTAAGCAAATGTGTATTTTCCTTGCTGCGTTCCCTCTGCTTCACTGGGAAGTGGGAAGGGAAACCGAGCCTGCTGTTTTCCCTGCCCAGGCGGGAGGGGGAGAAAAGCATGAAGAAAAGTATGAGGAAATTAGGGAGAGTGTTTTTTTTTTGCATGCTGATTGTTTTAGCAGAAGTGTTAAAATAAAGCTTGTGGTGTTGCAATGTGATCGGTGTTGGTGGATGAAGGAAGGTGCATAAAAAAAGCCCTTCCCAACCAAGCAATTTGTGATCAAGCTTTTTGTTATTTTGGAAACACAAGTTAATGCAAATAAAAACTTGTCCTGGGAATATACTGCAAATGACAGAATGTGGTGGTAAATGTGTCTCAACTCCAGGATATGGTCAAAAGAAGGGGCAGAGAGCTGAGTTTTAGCATACTGGTTGTGTTTACCTGAAAAACCCTGCTGGAAGTCAGGGCAGGTACTTGAACCTTGTATCATTCTTATCTAGAGCCAAGAACCAAGCACCTGGTAGGATTGTAGTTTCCTTTCTTTTTTTTTTCCTTCTCTTTCCACATTTTTTTTAGTGCTTTATTAGCCAAGAATGTAGAATAGAAATAAATATTTGGGTTTTTTTAAATCATTAAATATTTTTGTGGTCTGGAAAGCAGTTGCTGTCAAGGATAGCCTGGCATCTGAGTGCTGCTCTGTGCAGAGCAGGAGTTTTCCTCGTGGATCAGGATCATAAGAGTAAAAAAGGAGAGTATTTTAATTAAAATGCATTAGTTTGGTGTTGATTAAAAATCTCATTATGGGGATAGCAACTGTCATTCAACAGAAAGTGTGTGGCACTAGAGCAGACAGCAAAGGAGTGTGCAGATAAGATTGTTTTCAACTCTGATTCTCCTCCTCCTCACAGTTCTTAGTGCCTAATTGACTCGTGCTGAAGTGCTAGGGCAATATTAGCCTGGAAATGTATATGTTTTATTGCCTTGTCTGTTTTGTATGACATTTACAAGGCTGGAAAAACAGGAAATTTACTATAAATAAGTCAGTCATCTGCAAGCATGAACAGAGAAAACAACTGTTCTGACCTTGCACTTAGTGAAAGAGAAGAGACTAGGATGTGAAATGTAGGTAGAATAGGCTGGGCCTGGGCTTTATCAATAAACCAGGGTTTACAGACTTACAGGTTCACGTGCAATGGCTTTTCTTGCCTTTGTTAGTGGTATGTTTGAGTAGGTTCCCACAAAAAGGGGGAACCTATATGAATTCTCTTAATGGGAGTACTGGTATTGAATACTGCTCACTTACCCCGTTAGAAAGACTGAAGAAAGCTAAAGAATTCAATGAAGCTTTCCCTTTCTTTTCCTGGTATACAACCTTTTTTTGATATTGTGATTGAGAAAAAACCTGTACCATTATAGTTGCCTGGTTTTGGGCAGAGAGAGGAAGAATCTGCTCCCATGTGTCTTAGTAACTTTCAGAACTATCAAATGTGCGAAAAAACCTCAGTTAACATGTAGTGCTTTTATGACTGACTGTTTCCATCTTACATCTGTGCCTAAATTCTGATGAAATTGTCAATTAACTCCTGTGCAGTTAATAAATGCATACTTATTATTGCTTGGTCTGAGAGTATGGAATTTATAGATTGAATTATAGGAGCAGTGGTCACTTATTCTTGTGTAAAGCTGGCATTGCCTTAACAAAGCGATTTCTTGGCTGTATTGTGATTATTGTATCTTACTTGAATACACTTCACATTTTTCAATATAGCTCACTTGGATAAACTGAAGCTTAAAATGGATAAATCAGTTATAAAATCAGGCGCACTATTTCTTCTCATGGATCTTTGTTAACAGAGTCCAGCACAACAGAACAGAAGTTTATTGTGCTGTTCTCCACAATGGAAGAATTAAGGCTGTATTTATAAAAAGTAGACTCTGATTTGTTTGAGACAAGGTATTTGGGGTTTCATTCTCCCTCATTGAGAGATGGGCATGTTCAGAGAGATTTCTAATTGCAGCCTTTTATTTGTTTTGCTCTTTGCTTCGATGAGCTGTGCTAAATCATACCAAGCCAGATGCTTGGTATGGGGAAACTGTCACAGTTAATGTGTTTGTACACTTATTTTTAAATTGTTTGTTTTTTTTTTTAGTTCTCATTTCAACACTTTGCTTCCCTAGAAAGTCTCAAGATCCCAATGTCTAAATGACCAATTGCTTTGAAACCAGGAGGTGCTGAGAGCAGTTTATGCAATTAATAATTTTTGTAGGACTTTGCAGCTGGGATGATCCCACGGTAAGGAGGAGTTGAGGGAGTTTGTGGGGGGTTTTTTTAGCCCTGTACAGGGCAAACAGGAGCAGGCGTGATCCCAAACAGAAACAGTCACTGTTTACCCAGCGCTATCAGCTGCATTTGTTTCTTTTCAAACATTAACTTGACCCTAAGATAAATTCTGAAATACAGTGCAGTGACTCAATGCTTCAATGTCAGGCTGGCATCTGCTATACATGAGATGTTAAACTCAGTTATGTATACTAATGTGAACAAAACCAGCTACTTTCAAAAAGTTTATGTGAGCTGGTATTTGGATCTTTTTCCTTTTATTTTCCTGAGAGATCTCGTGAGATAATTCCTGTTTGGTTTCGGAGGTCTTCTTTTTGTAAAGCATTATTTAAAAAAAAAGAAAAAAAAAGAAGGTAAAGTTGATGCATCTGTAAATTCCTGTGTGTTCAGTGGTTTAGCAAACACAGAGAAGCAGAGTGTCACTTTGTAAGTGGTGATGCTGAACATCCCACGCTAAGTGCTGGTGCCTGGCATTGCAGAGCCCTGCAGGGAAGGCTGGTGCCTGTGTCCTGCCCTGGGATGGAGCTGAGCTCGGGTTTGATGTGCAGGCAGCTGCCTCTGGGCCAGCAAAGGGAGAGGCTGTTTAGAGAGTGAGCTCTTGCTGTTCCCAGTGTACCTCTGCAGTGTCACGCATGAGCTCCAAAAAGTGTTTGCCTTCAGTCTTTGCCTGCTGAGTGCCAGTCACTTGCACGGTGAATTCTGTAAGTCGTTTTTCCATCTGACCCAAATTCTTTCAGGACCCAAGTGGATTTGAAGGGGAGAGAAAGATTTGCCAGCTGAAAACTCGGGTGATGTTCATGCATTTTAGATTTATAAGGCCTGTTTTCAACTCTAACCTGCTGGGTGACCATTGGACTAGTCACTGCTGAAATGTAAAATAAAAGAAGACAGAGTCTCTTTTTCTCTCACTTTGAACATACTTCGCTACAAATCAGTAATCTTCTTTCTTTAAAGTAGTACTGCATTTAGGAGTCATGAAATGTGTATATCTTGTATTAAAATACTGCCATGAGGAAGACCTTATCTGTACTGTGCCTGAATTTGCAGTGTAGTACCTGTCAGGATTTAGAAGCTGACCCTGCTTGTGGCAAACCAGTCATCCATCCTCTTCCGTGCCACAAGGTAGCACCCCAGAGATGGATGTTAGAGCCCAAGAGCCACATCTTGGCTGTTATAAAAATTTCCAGGAATTAATATGATCCTTTTAATGGCACGAAATGGGATTATGCTTTCC